ATCTTTTACATATACTGGTTTCCTTATTTTCAAAAATAATACTACTATAATAAGGATTTAATAGAGAAATTTCATATCAGTTAGCAACTAAAGAAGGTTAACTTTATATTATAAATATTCAAGATGGAAAGTAAAATAGGAAAAACAAGGATGGAGTTTATGTTTTATTTAATTAGAGAGAGAGAGAGAGAGAACCTCTTTATAATTCTATTCTTTCTTTCCTCTTTCTTTTTTTTTCTTTCTTTCCTTTTCTCTCCTCAAAACCCTTTGATCTTTTAAATTTCAATAGTAAAACAATAAGACAAAGTATATATATATATATGTATATATATGTAACATATAAATGTATTAATACATACATTAATAAGATACAACAATATAAATGATATTATAAAAGGCACCCGCCTTATCATTTTTGTTGCCTAGGTGGGCGCTTAGTTGCCTAGTTGCTAAAAGTCAAGGTGTTTGGGTGAGGTGCCTAGTGAAGGGTGCCTAGTCGCCTAGGCGACGGCTTGACAACTATGCCATTGCTAGAAGTCTCGGCACACCGGTGATACTTGCTAGGACCTTCATGGGAAGCTGAAGTGGGTTTAGGAGTTGAGTAAGAAACATGGTTCAAATCAGAAAAAGAAACTAGGACAGCAAGGTCCAAGGAGTTCACTACAACAAACATGGCTTCTTAGGAGACTCAACCCTTTACTACTACTATGACTCAGGYGCATCCCTCTAGTTTTGGTCCTAGGGAGGATATCATTAATTCCTTCCATGACTATTTGGAGTTGTGTGGTAAGGCAATTCGTCAAATGGGTACTAYTCCTCCCTCAACTTCATTTGCATCTACATCAGGTAATTTTGCCACAAGTCTTCTCATTCCCTTGACTCTCCTTGGATAATTGATTATGGAACGTCAAACCATATGATTGGTAAGTCAAACTATTTTTAGTCCTATCATCTTCTCTCTAGGAGGGACAAGGTAAGACTAACTGATGGCTCGCCCTCCACCATTACTAGTCAAGAACCATATCTCTTCCCTTTGGCCTTACCCTTTCTAATGTTTTGCATGTTCCAAAATTACCTATAAACTTGTTTTCTATTAGTAGTATCACCAACTCATTAAACTGCTTAGTGACCTTTTTTCCTTATTGTGTAATTCAAGATTTGGCAACCGAGACCGGCCCGACCATTGGGCTTAGATCTTGAGCCCGAGCCTGACCATATATAAAGCCTAAAGCCTAGGCCCGATCCCGAAGCCT